AGTCACTTCCGCCACCTTTACAGCTGTTGGGGTAGATAAAAGAACAACATACAAAGGCTAACAGGATACACCCCGAGCTTTAACTCAATATGTATTGGTGGGATATTACGAGCAAGTCCTGGAGGATTATTTTCTTCCCATACTCCTGGAATGTCAAATAAGGATTCATCACTCTTAGGGTTAACACTTGTCACTATGGAATAGAAGCGTCATTCTTCTTCCCTTGGCACCGATATCACCATTATGCCTGGTAATCCCTTAAACTTCAGAGATGTTAATCCATTAGGTAAAAGGTTATCTGAGCTTAAAGCTTCGATAATAGATCTCGTCCTAAAAGTTGAATCGGACACTCTGGCATATATAGGAACTAATGCTTCACCACATGGCCTCCCAGAATACAAGTGCGACTCTTAAGAACCGGTCTAGCTGCACTTCTCCCAGTAGCTCCTATCACAGTTATAGTCCTCCCCGAAGGCGGAGCCACCATCTTAGTCACCACAGAATGTTCAGCACCTGTGTCGATCATGAAAGAACTTCTCTTTCCCCCTATTGCTACATCGACCATAGGCTCCGCTCGACCAAGTGGGATGGAGCCCAGTCGGTATCAATAGTCTTCCATGATAGTGTCAGCCAGACCCGCAAAATCTCTATCCTCTCTTTCTCTAGGTCTCTGCGTGGGTGGATAGTATCTGTCTCCTTGAACACTTCCTCTACTATTCCCATCATTCCCTCTAAAACTTCCTCTTACTCTATAACTACCACTATAACCTCCTCATACCCTTCTCTCTCCTTGTCTATCACCTTCATACTGCTCTCTCTGTGGACACTCACTCTTCCAATGTCCCTCCTTTCTACAATCCGCACATTAATTCCTACTTAAAGTCCCTTGCTCAGCCTATTCTCGTCTCCTCTATTCACTTCCCTGTCTTTCTACACTTAAGATAGCTACCGCTAGCATATCTGCCTTTTTCCTCATTTTACGTTCTTGCTCCCACTTTACCTCTGTCTCCCTATTACTATCACCTTGGGCCTGGCTGACAAATGCTGAGTCTATAATTCGGAAGTTTTCAGGATTGAAAGGAGTGTACAATCTATTTGACTCAAGCAGTGTCTAATATGGGACTTCGGCAAGGCTGCCCAATAATAGGTTCCAGTCTAGGATTAGTAAAATAGGTGAAAGGGGGTGAGCTAATTTTATTAGTCGGCATTTGGTGGATGAAAAAACGTTTTTGTTTAAAGTGTTAAACCAAAAACCTACCAGTAGGTGTCACCAGAGGGTAATTGTATCAAAATAATCTTTATGGGTCTAATAAGAAAACTTAACTTTTAATATATTTATACATAAAATAAAACCTTATAGCAATAAATATATTAAAATAGGGTAAGCAATCCTACTTCTATCTGGTATAAACAATGTATTATCAATGTAACTCCCGAAGATGGCCAGTAGGTGGCCTAGAGTGCCTCCCTAAAGTCTAATGAAGCAGATAGACTTTAATTAATTATGTCCTATTTTATTATTACTTATTTTAATCAATGTCCACCCTGCTAGCTAGGCTTGATTAAATCTTTAGTTCTAAGGTAAATTAAACATTTCAGTTTGTAGTTTAGTAAAAGGGGACATTTTGGACAAAGCTGGGAGGGGCCCATCCAGTAACTAAAATAAAGACCAATATACCATCTGATACCATTGATCATTGATTAGGGGGAGGGGTAGTACAGAAATACAAGAGTTTGAAACACAGGAACAGATAGGTATGTGGGTAGGCGGGGACAGTAGAGCAGGGGGAGTGCAAATACTGACTATACCAGCCAGAAATGGGCGTGGCTACTCTGGCTCTGGAGGATGTTTGGGGGGTTGGTAATCAGATGCCAGGGGGGGAGGGGATATCCAAAGCAGTTGTAATTAAGTCCTTAGTTCTGACCACCATATGGCTACATTGTTTCCCATATGACACAGTTTAATTCACCAAGGCAATTTTTCAACAAATCAGTTTCCAACAGTCAATATATAGAAACTGATCATAGAATTCCAGCCTACTAGTTACAGCCACATGTACCCTCTGCACTAAATTTAAGTGAAGACTGCTACATGGAGGCCATGCGGCCACCAGGACAAGCTACTCCCTACTTTTTTTTTTTTTTTTTTTTTAAACATACAAGACAAAGCCTTGTGAATCAGAAGATTATTTCAACAGAGCATCTGATTCAAAAAGCTGTACAAATATACACACAGTTTCAACAGTCACACCAATCTCCTTATCACCAGCAACACATTGCGCAGTCACTAGGCCCAAACACACACACAGGATCCTCACATGCTCAACAATATCACGACGTCGCACACACAAAATTAAATCAAAAACCCACCAAAGACTATACACTCATCAATGTAACTATTATTCAAACCATACAACTATCCACGCTATTAATCCATATAAACTAACCGATCACATAACATTTCAACAGATTTCATCTCTACAATTATCTGTACTATAAATCAACTCTTGACTAACCAACTATATCACATTCTAGTAACCTCATCTTTACAGTCAGTGGTTATGGTACAGTTAGTAAGTGGTTATAATACAGTTTTAAAGTCACAGATCAGTTAGTAACAGTTATGGTATTATACAAATAACATAAAACAGCAATTGTTAGTAATTTTTACACAATGTCAGTGGTTATGGTACATGTCAGTAGTTATGATACCGTGCGCTATTTTACAGTTATACACACAATTTACACTCCCACTAGACAGCAGAGCTCTAACTTTCTAGTAGGACATACAAATTAACCAATTCACCAACTACAATATATTTAACAACATTTACAATAATCCCAACTATTCTAACTGGCCAGCACCTCGAGAGCTTTCGATCTATTTATACACCAGAGATTCGATAAGTTCTTCTCTGCCCAGACACCACGTATAGCGAACTAGAGGGCAGAATTTACACAGTACCCAGCTAGTCTATTAAACTATCAATAAGCTAGTGGCTGGATTTACAACAGAGCACACTTAGTTAAGATAGGGTGAAATCTAGCAAACTATAATATACAACAGAGTATGCTAGTCTCCCGGACCCCCCGACCTAGCGAACAAAATTTACACCCTAGATACGCTAGTCAAGACAGGACACCGGTGTCCGACATGAGCTATTTACACCAGAACTCAGTCTGACCCAAACCACTTATATTAGACGGGCTGACTACAGAGCGTCTAATTTCCAGATAAGTGTTGCGCTTTTCACTTCTTCCATCCATAAGGACAGGGCAGATTCCAATAACCGGTTCCAAATATAAAACCCCTTGTGGGTCTACCGCTCTAACGGTATCAATCTTACCTGTTAATTTCTGGACCTGGGTTCACTCATAGGCGGAACAATCCGGGACTCACTGCGCAGAAGCCGATGATCTCCTGGACAAAAGGCCAGTGGCGCCGAGACGAAAGGAGGTCCACGCAGTAGAAGTCCAGGATTGTAGCGTAGAAGGTTTGGTAAAAGTTTACCGTCTCAAATCTCTGTGCCAGCTTCCGTGCGATGAGGTTCCCGGCCCAATTGCACCAGAAATGTTGCAGTGTAAGCATGCAGAAGCCAAACACAGAAATATTGGACACAGGTCTTCAGGAAGTAACAGGCCTCCATTCAATTCACATTACTGTGTATATACACTGCATCATCCAAACACTCACTGTGTACTTGTAGATACCTGCCTGGTCCTACAATCCTGCATACTGCACAATCACTACATGGATCCTGCACTCCTGCTACCTGTGTATAACAATGCACTGATCATACACTCATGCTACTGTGATAACACTGCTGGATCCTAACAATCATGTGTATGTGATATACACTGCATGGATCCTGCAATCACTGTGTACTGTGTATATACACTGCATGGATCCTGCAATCACTGTGTACTGTGTATATACACTGCATGGATCCTGCAATCACTGTGTACTGTGTATATACACTGCATGGATCCTGCAATCACTGTGTACTGTGTATATACACTGCATGGATCCTGCAATCACTGTGTACTGTGTATATACACTGCATGGATCCGCAATCACTGTGTACTGTGTATATACACTGCATGGATCCTGCAATCACTGTGTACTGTGTATATACACTGCATGGATCCAAATCACTGTGTACTGTGTATATACACTGCCTGGATCCTGCAATCACTGTGTACTGTGTATATACACTGCATGGATCCTGCAATGTATATACACTGCATGGATCCAATCTGTGTATATACACTGCATGGATCCAGCAATCACTGTGTGTACTGTGTATATACACTGCATGGATCCAGCAATCACTGTGTACTGTGTATATACACTGCATGGATCCAGCAATCACTGTGTACTGTGTATATACACTGCATGGATCCAGCAATCACCGTGTACTGTGTATATACACTGCATGGATCCAGCAATCACTGTGTACTGTGTATATACACTGCATGGATCCAGCAATCACCGTGTACTGTGTATATACACTGCATGGATCCAGCAATCACCGTGTACTGTGTATATACACTGCATGGATCCAGCAATCACTGTGTACTGTGTATATACACTGCATGGATCCAATCACTGTGTACTGTGTATATACACTGCATGGATCCAGCAATCACTGTGTACTGTGTATATACACTGCATGGATCCAGCACTCACTGTGTACTGTGTATATACACTGCATGGATCCTGCAATCACTGTGTACTGTGTATATACACTGCATGGATCCAGCAATCACTGTGTACTGTGTATATACACTGCCTGGATCCAGCATCACTGTGTACTGTGTATATACACTGCATGGATCCAGCAATCACTGTGTACTGTGTATATACACTGCATGGATCCAATCACACTGTGTACTGTGTATATACACTGCATGGATCCAGCAATCACTGTGTACTGTGTATATACACTGCCTGGATCCAGCAATCACTGTGTACTGTGTATATACACTGCATGGATCCAATCACTGTGTACTGTGTATATACACTGCATGGATCCAGCACTCACTGTGTACTGTGTATATACACTGCATGGATCCAGCTCACTGTGTACTGTGTATATACACTGCATGGATCCAGCAATCACTGTGTACTGTGTATATACACTGCATGGATCCAATCACTGTGTACTGTGTATATACACTGCATGGATCCAATCACTGTGTACTGTGTATATACACTGCATGGATCCAGCACTCACTGTGTACTGTGTATATACACTGCATGGATCCAGCACTCACTGTGTACTGTGTATATACACTGCATGGATCCAGCAATCACTGTGTACTGTGTATATACACTGCATGGATCCAATCACTGTGTACTGTGTATATACACTGCATGGATCCAATCACTGTGTACTGTGTATAACCATAGCAATGGATTACCTTAATGTGTTTAATGGGCTTGTCTCAAGGATTTCTATGGGGAGCACAAATAATAACACGACAAATTGGAGTTTAAACTGATACAGTGATGAATTGATTACGGTGTCCACTTTTATTAATAATGTATAAAGTTAAAAAAAAAAAAAAACTCAAATAACATACATAGGAAACATGATCACTTTATAATATGAAGCCTTTGGCTTAGAATATATTGAGGTATTATGATCACTGGGTATAATATGAGGATTAACACTATTTTGTGTGATAGGATTAATGAGGAGGGTGATATATATATAAATAATGGTTGAATATGTTAAACATGTTTAACAGTTTTTTTCTCTAGCAGAATGGGGCTTTTTATTTGTCCTGTGTTCCATTTGACCTTTGAATGACTTGATCATGTCCTGTTGCCATGGAGACGTTACTGGTGGAACGCATGTGGAACGCGGACGTTCCCGCGACGTCACTTCCGGTTTCGGCAAATTATGACTACTTCCGGTATTTGCCGAAAAAGGCGCGAATTACAAATTATGGAAGATGAATGAATGAAAAACAGCTGCCACAGGAAGATTAGTCCTCCAATTAGAATCAGGGAGGATTTACACACCTACTGGATCCACCAATAGACTTTAGGGATTAGCCCTATTTAAGGACACAGGGAGGGGGGATTTGTATAGGATATGTTCATGTATTGTACATTGATACATTGTTATTATTGTTTTTAATTGTGGTCCCTGAGGAAGTTCTTATAGAACGAAACGCGTAGGACAACCTTTTGTTATTTATATCCTATGCTGAAATGGTGACTACACTTTTTATCTAAATAATTTTTTATTATTGAACCCTGACCTGTGGATGTCTTTTGGTGGAACAAGGATCCAGAGGTGATAAGGAATACCAGCTAGCCCCCCATTTCATTGGGGAAGGCACCTTAAGAGCGCTTTTACTGTCTACATCCTGTGAGTGCACAAGATTACTGCGCATGAAATATTGTGTTTTATAACAATATCACACTATGTTTTGTTTTATGCTTTCTCTGTAGATTTACACAGCCATATCCCGAATCTTCTTTGTTTTGGTTTATACTATATATGATATAGGTCGCTTGTTTGGGTAACGACCTAGGGAGGCTGTCATACATCTTTATAAGCTAAGAATTATTGCTTTTTATATTATTTATTGTTTGTATTTTTTGGGATATACTTATAAGCTATTGTTTGTAACCCATTTTTTCTTTGAAACACACATATCTGTTACCTTGATAATATGGCCACGAATATGAATTTCTTGTCTGATTTACAATCTAATCGTAGAAGAAAATTTGAGGCTATGTTTCAGGAGTGGGATAAACCTCAACCATTTAAGGGACTAGATGAATTGTTTAGGAAAAAAGAAAAATTACTCTCTGCTGAAACCAAAAAATGGTGGGAGGTAGCATATTTAGAAAATTATTTAAAGGAAGGCCTCATACCACGAGGCCTTAGAATTGATAAAACACCTGCCTTTGGGTTAGAGGATGATTTATTCCTGGAGGAGTGGGATGCCATTCTCTCTAACTGTTCTTTTCAGCTGATTCAATTAATCATTAGGTATTCAAGGAAAATACAGAGTGAATTAGAAGCTGAACTAATCACGCTAGACACCAACCCCACTGTTGATATGAACAGTGGGGAATATAAAGAGAGAGAGGAGTCGTTACAGAACAATATAAAAAAATTAGATGAAAAAATCGCAGACACTAAAAATAGAAAATATAGCAGAGATAAGGAAGACAAATTACTTAATACTTTTGCAACAAAAAATAAATTGACCCGCAGGACAAGACGCCCCTCCACCTATAGGAGAACTGTACATAGATCTCCAGGGGGGAGGGTTAGAATTAATTCTCGTTCCAGAGATACACGGAGAGGTCAACAACACTCTGTGAATAATTCATATAAAATGCCCTACAGGGAAGATTTCCCCAGGTCTACAGATTCATGGGGGGCACGTAATTACTATGGGGGGAATATCCACAATACCCATAGGACATCGAATAATGGAAGGTCCCCAATGAGAAATAAGGACCCACTGCGGTCAAGAGGTGAAATAAGGAGACCTGAGGTACAAGAGTTTAGAAACAGAAACAACAGTTTATCACCTGTGAGAAGGGAAACTAATAGACCCCATATACAAACATCTAGGGGCAGAGATAATCCAGACAATCATATATCCCAATTTAATGACTCTACTGTAAATTTTCAGGGGAAACCAAGAGGTCCCAAAGAAAAGACCATAACCAATTATTTTCGCCCCAGGGCAGAGACCTGGGAACATCCCAATCGCTTTGCAATGCTATGTCAGGATTCTCCAGTGAAGAGAATCCGGACGGAGGACTAGGAACAATTTCTTTAAATGGAGGTCCATTAAATATGAAAGAACTAAGCAGGGGGATTTTTAACCTAACCCCAATCCCACTTTCAGATGAGGAGATTAATTTGTTATCAAGGGGTTTGAAATTTGCCCCAAACAGAAAGGCCAATGACTTTGAACTATTTATTGATCTCAAAAAGTTTATTCGTTCTCTGACTATCAAGAGACATTTTTTACTACATCCACCTGAGACTGAAATTGTTGGTGAAGATACTAATGTTGACTATAGATTCCGTCCAAAATCCCATTTTTTTCCTACTTATAGTAAGGGCCCTTTTTTAGAAACTTTTGAACATATGGTAGACCAACAATTTCGTAATATGACTAAGAATACCAATAGGAACAGAAACAATCGTCTCCAGAATCTAAGTAAAGAGGAAGATAAGACACTTAAACAGTTGATGAAAAGAGACGACGTGATTATTAGGGAAGCAAATAAGGGGGGGGGATAGTGCTAATGACCACTACATATTATCTCCAAGAAGCAGCTCATATCCTGGGGGATAGAAAGACTTATAGTGTACTCAAATGCGATCCGACCAGTCAATTTAATACAGAGCTCCAAGTAATTTTGAATGGAGCTAAAGAGAGAAATACCATCTCACAAAGAAATTATGATTTTTTATATCAGAAAAACCCAACCATCCCTATTTTTTATTTTCTTCCAAAAACGCATAAGCGTCTCCCTAACCCTCCTGGGCGACCCATAATCAGTGGCATTAATTCACTAACGGCTAATTTGTCAGCTTATGTCGATTCTCGGTTACAAAAATATGCCCAAGGGGCCCCTTCATATGTGAAGGATACGAAGTCTTTCCTCCAAGAAATGGAGAACATCGAATGGGACCCAGAGTACAGTTGGGCCACACTTGATGTGACCTCTCTGTACACAGTGATTAGCCACAGACTGGGTTTGGAGGCAGTTGATTATTTCATGGAGCAGGATTTGGAGTTACCAGGGGATATGAGGGATTTTATTTTTTCTTCTGTCCAATTTATTTTACATCACAATTATTTTTTCTTTAATGGTGATTATTTTTTACAAATCACGGGGACCGCCATGGGGACCAAGTTCGCCCCCAGCTATGCCAATACATACATGAGGAGATGGGAAGAGTTGTTTGTGTGGTCTGGACATGGCTGGAGGGCGAACTTGGTCCTGTGGCGGCGTTATATTGATGATGTTATTATTATTTGGAAGGGATCTTCTGTTTTGTTTCAGGATTATGTTAATTTTTTGAATGACAACGAGTACAATCTTGTCTTTACTCCCATCTGGAATAGGGATGAGATTAATTTTCTCGATCTTTGTCTGTCTCATGATTCGAGACATATAAAAAGTAAATGTTTTTTTAAACCCACTGATGGTAATGGGTTTGTCCATCGTAGGAGTGGTCATCATGAACCCTGGCTTAGGGGGATAGCCAAAAGCCAGTTTACCCGCCTTAGGCGAAATTGTTCTGATAAACGGGATTTCTTCGCCCAATCATTACATGTTAAAAGGAAACTTACAGATAGAGGATATAATGGAAAGAGATTGGAGAAAGAAATCCGTCGTATTGGTGATATAGAAAGGAAAACTTTTTTGGAGAATAAACCATATACTTCGGGAACTGGGGATGGTTTTCGTTCTGCATTTACCACCCATTACAATATTGATCATAACAAGATTAAGAGAAGTCTTCAAAGTTCTTGGCCAATTCTGTTGCAAGACCCCATTTTGGGGATACATCTATCAGACAATCCCGTGGTAATTTACAAAAGGAATAAAAATTTGAAGGATATGTTGGCACCCAGTTATGCCATTAAACCACCATCAGGTCTCACCTCTGCTAGTTCAGGTTCATTTCGAGGCTGTGGTACTTGTAAAGCTTGTACCACGGTGTCCATTAAAAATACACATTCATTTTTTAGTTCCACCACGGGGGAGAGCTTTACACTTAGAGACAATATAAATTGCCACACAGACTTTGTGGTATATTTGCTACAATGTCCGTGTGGCATGCAATACGTGGGACGGACTAAGAGGATTTTGAAGGTTCGCCTATTAGAACATCTTAATAATATCAGAAAGAGACTGATGACACACTCAGTCCCAACTCATTGTACATCATGTCCCCTCTTTTCATTCAAGGATTTTAGATGTTGGGGAATTGAACGAGTCCATCCCTTTTGGCGTGGGGGCAATAGAGTTCAAAGACTAGCCCAAAGGGAGACGTTCTGGATACATAAATTACAAACCCTCTCACCTAAGGGTCTCAATATAGATATCGATTTAATTAGTTTTTTGGATTAATATGGCCTAAAAGCTTCAGAACAGATAGTTAGGATATGTGTGTTTGCCTTTAATTTGGGTTGTTTCTACAGTTGAAAGCTAATCCCCATTTAGAGAGAGGATTTATATATATGTCAAATGCCAAGCAGTTATTTCATATTCCTTATATTTTATTTTATCTCCTTTTTTTATAATTTGTG